GTAGTAGTAGTAGTAGAGTAGTAGTAGTAGAGTAGAGAGAGAGAGAGAGAGAGAGAGAGAGAGAGAGAGAGAGAGAGAGAGAGAGAGAGAGAGAGTGAGAGAGAGTGAGTGTTGGGGGAGTGTGAGAGACTGTAGAGGGGGAGTGTGTACGTGAGAGAGAAAGAAAGAGTGAGTATGTTGGGGGAGAGTGACTATGCCGGCATGCCGTCTCTAAGTTCAGACTGCAACCAGAAGTAACCAATCCTGAGGCAGAAGCTGGTGCACAGATAGCTGGTGTTCCCCTGTCCCCCATCCCAGCTCAGCAGAGATCGGTACACTGGCAGTGGGAGGGGGAAATCCTGACATTAGCCTCCCGCGCCAGCTATGCTCTGCACAACAGTCTTCCCCCCAACCCCTGTAACAGCAGCCTGCCCTGCCTGCTGCTGTGGTCCTATGTGAGCTTTCCATGCTGAACAGTTTCAGAACTTCCTGAGGCTTTGAAATGGGACGGGTGCATGACCATGTAGCTGGATGCAGGGCAGCGGAGTTCAAAACAGTGAGCAGAGAGGTCACAGTGGGTATTTTGAGATATCTCCTGGAGGTCAGTTACTGCAGTGTAACGAACGCAGCATCTACACTGATGCTTTGTGGGTCTAACTTTGCCGCAAAAAGCTCTATGCCTCTTGTCGACGTGGTTTTCTTTTGTCAGCAAAGCAGGAGAGTTTTGTCAGCAGGAGGAGCGTTGTAGTGTGGATACCTCTGCTGTTTTGATGACAAAAGCTGCCTTTTGCTAACAAAACTGTGAGCGTAGACCAGGCCTAAGCCTTTGCCTATACTAGACAGGCCTTGTTGGAAGAGCTGTACCAGCAAGTCCTCATAGCATGGACATAGCTTATACCCGCTGTGACGGGTTGGATCACAGAAACCCCCTTGGGAGCTGCCACCCGATGTGCAAAGACTACCCCTGCTTCTGTTTTCCCTGCCAGCTCAGAACTCCAGCACCCTGTCTTGCTGAGCCAGACACTCCCGTCTGCTCCAACACAGACCCAGGTCTGAATCACTTGTCCCAAACTGCAAGTTTACCTGAGAACAGCTCACAGAAGTTTGCTTGTCTTTAGCACTCAGATGCCCAACTCCCAATGGGGTCTAAACCCAAATAAATCCGTTTTACCCTGCATAAAGCTTATGCAGGACAAACTCAAATTGTTCGCCCTCTATAACACTGATAGAGAGATATGCACAGTTGTTTGCTCCCCCAGGTATTAATACATACG